GACAAGTGCTACAAGTTACGCTACTGAGGAACTATTTCAGCCTAGCTCGCTTCCTGCCATAGCTATCGGCTAGGCCGCTCAACACGTTTATGCGTGTGAGTGCTGAAGCTATGGTACGTATACCATGAAAAGCTGAGTTGGATGAAATGGTGCCCCGGTAGCGTAACTGGTAGCGCACTTGCCCGGAAAGCGAGAGGTGCGGGTTCTAGTCCCGCCTGGGGCGAAAGTTTTGTTCACAACCCAGCATTCTTGTGAAACATTCGCAGAGGCTGCGGCCAAAAACAGCAGTTAACAAAAAAGAACAAGTCAAAACGCGCATTACTGGTCACCAAGAATGGAAACTTTGGCACTATTCAACTATTACAACATCAAAATCTCAAAATTTTGAATTTCCTCGAAACTTCGCTCATAAGGGTTATTCGATGCCCTGATTACGGAAAGTGGAACTCATTTTCGGCGTTGGCGCCATCTAGCGCCGGGGCAAGGTATTTTCACCAAAATTCGCTGTAAACTTGCACATAGGGGTTATTTAGGGTCCTGATTACGGATATGTCATTCGTTTTTAGCATTTCCACCGTTCAACGCACATTTTCCATTCTCCTGGGTCCTCTCACTTGTACATAATACCTAGGACTGAGCCTAGAAGGAGGGAGGACTCCGGGGTGGGTGAACCAGTCAACATGTGGCAAACGTTAAAGCGTATAAGATCACAGGATAAGTGTTATTCACTTCGGAGCACTCTCCTCCTCAAAGGCTTAGTCCCGATCGCGAGGTGATCAGTGAGAGGGCGCAGAGCGCAAAACAGGCGCCACAGGCGCTAGCGTGGGAAATGTAATTGTGTGTATTCGTGATCAGGACCCCAAATAACCCCTGTATACAAGTTTCCAGCGAATTTGGTGAAAATAGCCCTGGCGCCAAACTGGCGCCAATTGGCGCCAAATGGCGCCAACGTCAAAAATGAATGTCATTTTCGTAATCAGGGCATCGAATAACCCCTATGGGCGAAGTTTCGGCGAGAAAATAAAAATTTTGAGATTTTGGGGTTGTAATAGTTGAATAGTGCCAAATTACCAATCGTGTTCTCCAAATGCAAGGACATTTATTGACATTAAAACCGCGTGAGGTGTAGTGACATGCCACGCCGAACTGGGTAAAGAAACGGCACTAAAAGACTTTCTATTGTGAAAGAATCAAAATTTTATTCAGATTTCTCGAAAGAAAACGGAAAAACAGTTACAAGTGAAGAAAACTGCCCTTGTCACCAGCGCAGCAGGCTCCCCAAGTAAGCAAAACCTTCAGCTACATTGCTTTGTGTAATCAGTGATGATTTGATTCTTAAGCAAACACAAAGAGAAAAAAAAGCAGAAGTCAGGCCCATTCCACGCACTGAATGATGAAATTCGATCGCTTCACGTACACCTATACTCATTTCAAGAAATGACTAGTTTCCTGACCTGTGTGGCGCAGTGGTGTCGCTTACATCATAATCGACCGGGGCTAAAACATCTGTATCAGTATTTGCTCGAAGTCGTGGCGGATTCGTTGGACGCTGTGAGGACATACGACTGCAAAACAACGGTGAAATAATGAACTGATGACGCACCACAACCAAACTTCACTAAGAGAAAAAGGGTGAAACCCTGAAATACACAGCTCGAGCCACATAGCTTCTTTCAATTGCTTCATTCACTCGGAAAACATCTGTACATATTAACAACATATCAAATTGTAAAAAAAAAAAAACTTCCAAAATATGAAGGGAAAAAAATCATGGGAGAAATTGGAGAATAAAGATCAATCAATTTGTAAAAACCAGGTGTCGGTGAAGGGAAAACACAAAATTTCTTGGGCTAGTGTCAGAGCCGCGATCCGTCGCAGGTTTTCGCAGATTTTCGCGATTCACGCGATTTCACTTGATTTTCGCGATTTGCGCGATTCACGCGACGGATCGCAAAAATTGCAAGTGTGTGAACATTTGAAACACTGAATATGAAACAAGTGGAATCATGAGCAGTCGTCATTCAGCCATCACTATCAAGCAGAAGTGGCGGCAGGATTGGAGAACACCTTGCAGTATTGATCGGGCACTTGTGATTTCCGTGACCCGTCGCGTGAATCGCTGAATCGCGCAAATCGCGGTGAATCGCGAAAATCGGCGAAAATAGCGAAATCGCGACGCGATCGCAGACGCAGACACCGCCGTTAACGAAAATGAAGAGAAAATGTGAATAATGGAGAGTTGGTAAGGAACGATCCAGAAGCGAATGAGATTATATCCAAAAATAAACCCATAAAGTGAGACTTCGTTTTTTAACAAATTTCACAATGACCACATTAAAACATTTTATGAAACAAAAAAAAAGAAACTGTAACAAAAAAAGCCAACGAAGGTTCATTAACAACTGCCTGTGCATATCAGCGCTCGCACCTTATTAGTCCAAATTGAAATCAAAATCATTGGTGCATTCTGCCTGAGGAACGCGATGAAATCGTGCACACATGCAATGCGGACCATAAATTCAGAATCGTCCGTCGAACTCAAACGGAGCAAAATCGGCAACTTTACCAACAGACGCAGCAAATGACAAAGACCGTAGTATTTCGATGGACGAAGCATCTCTGGACGCAACGGACCACCTTCCTGAACAGCATCACGAATTATTTTTGATAAAACTTTTTAAATTAGTCGAAAATAAATCGGTAAACTATACGTAGTGAATTGCGCCCTACGGGCAAGTTCCCTGTACTATCATAATCCAATAAATGTTCCGACGCCATGAAACACGTAATAACTTCGTATAGCACCAATAACTGCCTTTTTTTTTTTTTTGCAATATCACTAGGGGGAGTGACGGTCTCACATCGCGAGTCTGCCTGCGCCTGCGACCGGGGGTTTCCGGCGTTTTCGTCACCTCGCCATCAAACTTCTCCTGCTCACGCTTCGACAATGCCTGGTACTGCGGTTTCTCGTACTTGTACAACAACTGGTAACCAAGAACAATGTCGAAATAGTCCCGTAAATTGACTGCAGTCGCACAAAGAGTATCTACTCCAGGAATACGGGTTGTCCTGCATGCGTGAAAATGTGCGACAGATCGAAGGACTGGCTTATTATCAACCAACATGAATCTAGGCTGATGAGCAGATATGTAATCGTTTGTCAGAAGAAGGGTGTGGGTTCACTCAGACAGGAAGGGCTTTGTTTCCGCGACAATTTCGCTGCACTAACCTCAGGTCCACGGCTGATCATCAATAGACCCGAGGTTCCCGCAGCGAATCATCAGTAGATCTGCTCGAGTTCCCACAGCGACGTTTCGCACGCGAAACCCGAAAAAAAGTCGCTTTCTGTCCTAGTGAACCACGCCTCCGTACGAAGTATCTTCAGGAATTTTAGATAGCAGGAAAGCACTTGACCATATAACTACTCGACTCGATTCTCCTATTTTTGACCCAAGGAAAAGATTCCTATGCAAATTCCTGATATCTCACGATATTGTAGGACCGTAACTCTGGCAGGCAGAACTGCTAGCTTTCCATGAACCATGATGGCGTTATATTCTTCGACTAAAATCTTCTTGAACAATTTCGGCAAATTGCTCAGCATCTCAACTTGCGCGTCAATTTTCGGGCCCAACGAAACCAAGACCGCCTCATCTAAACCAGCTTATGCGGTTCGGTTGAAGAACAATCAAATAACAATCAAATAGTGGATATAACTTCGTGCAGCAAACAATAACATTACAAGGAATGAATAGGTCTCACCTGCCTCATCGCCAGCACTTTTCTGTGTCACAGTCTCCGATGGTTTTGAAACAGGACCGCGTCGATCGCTGTGAACACTAGGAGCATGGCAACTACTTCCTAAAAACTTATCCTATCTTGAAAGGAGAACGAGGTCTGCATTCTAGATATACAGCTTGCTGTTTCTCTTCCCATACAGCTTAGAGAATCCAGTTAATGCATTAATTATTTCATTTCACTAATCATGACTGAAAGCAAATCCATCTTTCTTTTATAGGACCTTGAACTCTCTTAGTAACAGCCCAGCTTTGAGCAACGACTGCAGTTTTATTGTAGGTTGTGTTGTTCGGCTCCCAGCTAATAGAATACCTTAGGCTACAAACGGTGCTATCTTAGTTGGGGGGGGGGACCACGCGGCGGAGCGGCGCTCTGTTCGTCTGCTCCTCCAAAGGCTTAGTCCAAGGGACAGTTACTATTTCGCCATCACCTGGCAGTTTCGAAATACGCACGATCGAGAGATTGCGATGTCAGGACTTTGCGACTTGGAGCGATTTTGCACCAATGCCGATGTCAGACTCATACGCTATCGATCGAGGGGGCGCGCCAGACTATTGATTCGCTGCCTGCCAACGGGAGTGATCCGCCCATCGCAGCGGATTGGAGTGATTGACGATACCTGCCGACACGTGAACCTTCTCTCGTCTTCCTAAAACGCCAAGTGGTGAGGGATGCGATGTCAGCACTGTATTTTGAGAAATGGTTTTAGGTGTGTGGCTCACTAGTGGATAGAATGCGACTTTTTCGCGTTTCGCAATGCGAAACACTTTTCGCTGCAGGAACCTCAGATCCATCGCTGATCATGAATGGACCTGAAGCTCCCGCAGCAAAAAATGTTTCGCGCGCGAAACGCGAAAAGTCGCTTTCTTCTGTTGAGTGGACCCACACCCATTTTTATGATCAAGAAAGTGGACTTCTCAGGAAGCCTTGGGCGATGATGGAAAGTAGTAAAGATGAGGGAGATTTGACGAACGCTTCAAAGGCATTTGCAAATCAGAATTTGGGAGGCTGCGGTTGACGGCTGCGAAAGAGCGTGGAATCGGAAGAAGGGAGCTGGCACGAGTAGAGGCTCCAAAAGGGTTCCACCTCATCCCAAACTCTGGGACTGACAAAATTTCTCGTTGGAGTGCAAAAGTCGATTTACCTGCCAGATCACTCGGAGGGAGTTGATGCTCGGCTGCCATTTTCGCTCTTCCGCGCGTCATCGTCCTCTAATTTCTGTTTCTTGCGTTTCGTCTTCGCAGCGCTTGCCTCTTGAATGTCCGCCTTCGCTTTAGCGATGTTCGCTTCGGTCAACGGTAGAAACATTTCAGGGCATTTCGACTGACGAATTCGTTCATCGTATCTCTTGTGCCAACCCTGGTAATGTACCGTATAGATCATTTCGCCAGCCTCTTCTTCAACATCGGTTATTTTCGCCTCATAGAAGAACAAGCCATGCTTGCACAACACCTTGTCGTTTACCTCATACCTCGTGGCCCTTGGTGGCATGCCTGAAGTAGGACAAAGACATTGAATGGTAATAATACTAGTCGCTTTCAGAACCAAAGTAAAATTGTATCACGATTACATGGATTCCAAAAGATTACCCAATTAAATAAGCTCAAACCGATATAACAACCAGGATCGAATATTGAAGGAAACATCGGTATTAATGCATGTAGTCAATTTTTAGCAACTATTCCAAACAAAATAGAATGCCAGTGAGAGCGCGCTTGCGATGCGCAGTGGGATGAGCGAGATACACAAACGTTCCTGCTGTATCTAAAGTAACGCATCTCGATCAGTTTGAGCTGGCCAGTTAATCCACCAATCCGATGCAACCCTGAAACCCAGCAAAGCAAATGTACCCTACTTTTCAAAATACGAGAAGAGTGTCTGGTGCAGACCATACACCACAAGTGACGACGGCCTCCACAAAATGTAAATGTTTTCTGCCAATGAAATGATTAGCCTGTTGCAGTTGTATTCTATCAGTTGTCACTAATTACAACTATCATTTACCAAAATCAGCTATCACTATGAACACTTCTAACCAGATTTACTTGGAGGCCGTCGTCACTTGTGGTGTATTGGTCTGCACCCGACACTCTTCTCGTATTTTGAAAGGAATTAGTTCCAGAAAACTTTGGTTGTCCTTTGTGTCACATCGCTCTAGGGCCGAGGGCTTGGGCCAAATATCCTCAATAACTCAGATAGCCAAATAAAGTAACCCAAACTTTGTGCTGCAGAAAATGCTGTTCTCAGAATCCGCGGTCCGTCGCGCGATTCGCCGCGAGACGGATCGCGCCACTCTGACATCAACCTCGTAACCGGTTACGTTTCAAATTGTTCTGTTGCCAGAAAACACTTTGATGTTGAGTGAGTAAACACTCTCGGGCGCTCATTTCGATTGCCGGGAGAAAGGGGGGGGGGGAGCACGCGAAGCATTCGATGCGTATTAAGCAACTCACAGTTTGGGACTGAGCTTTAGGCGAGGGTGAAAGGCTTCTTGGGGGAGGACTGTGAGCATTTAGCTTGACATTTCCTTGCGTATTCCTATTCTAATCTGGGCTAAGTCTTAGTGTCACTTGCACCTTTTTTAGGCACTCTATTGAATTGATTCTCCCTCCATCCGTTATCCCAAGAACATGAGCGCTCCCCACCTCTACACAACACAAAAGCGCCAAAATTCATGCTACCCTCTCAGAAAAAAAATCAATGGGAAGGAGCTTATGACTACTTACAGGTTAGCTTCCATTGTTTCCGTATCTTCTATTACACTTCACAAATGTTCAGCGTTCACGACTACTGACTCGTATTCAAAAAACCCTTGGAAAAGGGTACACAAAATACTAAATCCTGACTTCTGACATTCCACCGTGAGTAGAATGTATTCTGCTCCTCCCACTTCACCAAAACTACTTCCTCGCATTTCTGGTCATCAAAGATCAACAGAAAGCTTGTCGATCAAAAACCACTCACTCCATCAATCATAGCATCTTTGGATTTTCAAAATAAAGGAGAATAATGATCAAACTTGAACGCAAGCAACTTTAAAATTCAAGAATCACATTGAACGTGCAAAGGAGTATGTGATCATAATAATTCTTCGAGTAGGAATGTTAGCGGGAAGATATACGCATTTAAAATTCCAATTCAAACTCGCAAAACCTGGCACCTTTCAATGAAACACTGCGAAAAAAGGGCTCAAATACTTAGTTGCAGGAGCTTCTAGAAGACTATTTCAATGCACTATTTAGAGGGAAATCTGCTGCAAAAACTGCAGCAACAATGCTCAACACAATAAAATTATCGAGCTTGATAAAATAAAGAGGCGTGGCTTGTGAGTGCGTTGAAAATTACACTCGTGTCGAGCACACAACGTACACCTCACCTTCACGGACTTGTGCACCCCAAACTTCACAAGTTCGCAAGACTAATTCTTAATTATCACAGCCAATTTGAACCATATCGCATCTAATTCTAACACCTTCCAACTCGATTTATGTTCGATATATGTCTGAAAAAACGCGCTCGGAAAGATTATGCTAAAATGTTTCAGAATTGACTCGTAGGACATGAGCTGACAATGAATCGATACACACTCATACCTCTATACCATCGACAAGATCTCAATCAGAAGTGTATTGATCTGTTGAACCAGGTATGTGGAGAGATTTTATCATTAGCAGAATCATTGGGAGTTTTCAGGCGCATTAATTGAGAGCGCATTTACTGAATTAGTAATAAGCACATGGTTAGCATTGGTATTGAAGTAAGGGTCTAAAATTAAGGGAAGCAGTATAGGGCTCCTTTTCACAGAATGATTATACTCGGATGTGGTAACGAACATTATACTCTGCTTTCGAAGACTAGATGCGCATCGAGTGCAGACCAAACGCTACATGTGACGACGGCCTCCAGCTAATTCCGGTGGCAAGC